ACCTTGGAATCGCCGTTGTGGAGGTCGGAGGGCAGGAAGCGGTAGGGGAGGTGGCTCTTGATGAGACGCGGCGACGTCAGCTCCTGGGGTCCGGGACGGGCTGTCAGAGGCGCTGCCGGGCCCTTCTCGGGGCCCAGGGGCGGGGGCTGGACAGAGCCGGGACCCCACTCGAGGGACAAACGCCTGGCAGGGAACCGCCAGACTCCAGGGTGGACCGCAGCCCAGCCCGCCCGCCCAGCACGGCCGGGGCCTGGGGCGGCCAGAGCAGGCCCGTGGCCACAAGGGCGGGGGGAGCAGGGCTCACAGGGTCCCCTCCGCCGGCTCTCCCCCACTCTTCCGGGCGTCACTCAGGCACCCCACGAGGCCTGGCCAGGCGCTTCCTTCCCCGGGCCGCGCTGAGCACGTCTCACCCCCGGTCAGTCCTGCCCCTCTGGGTGGGTCCTGTGTGCATCCGGCCACAGCCAGGGAGGTGGGGGACGCCGCAGGCTGCACCGCGGGCCAGGAGTGGGGGAGGCTGAGGGGGGAGGGGAACCCCAGGCGGCAGAGGGCGGCGCTGGGAGGACGCCGCCTTCGCCGAGAGCAGGACCCCGTGCGGACCCCGGTTCTGGCAGGGTGAGCCACGTGGGCGAGAGGCAGGCGTGGCCGAGGCCCGGCCCACACCGCAGGGCTCGCGGTCAGCGCACCCAGGGTCCCCGTCTGGCTCAGGCTGGCGGGCGGCCTCCGGGGGCGGCAGAGCGCTGCGTGTCCCCCCCGCGGGGCCCCTGGGCCAGGAGGGAGAGCTGGCACGGGGAGCTGTGTGGAAACGGGGGCGCGGGCACCTTGATGATGTCCAGGCCGGGCTGCGGGTACTCCAAGACCGGCAGCTGCTCGTCGATGTTCATCAGCCCGATCTCGTCGGGGTCGGCGCCCTGGCTCACCAGGTAGACCACCTCCTGCAGCAAGCTTGTGCCTGCGGGGAGGGCGAGCGCAGGTGGCCCGAGTCCGCTGGACGGCCCCCCACTCCGCCCCCCGTCCCGTACCCCCCACCAGGGGACGCGGCGGCAGCCCCCGGCCGGAGCGCGAGCGCGAGGCCCGAAGCCTGCGCTGCCCTGCGGCCCCCGGGGGGCCCTCCTCCCGGGCCCGCCAAGCCGTCACGGGACAGGCGCGCCGACCCGTGTGCCCACAGCCCTCCAGCTAGACACACTGTGTCCTGCCACTCCCAGGCCCCGTGCACCCCCCGGCCCGGCGGCACGTTCCGGAACAATCCCGCAGCGCCAGCCACAGCAGCAACACCGTCCACAGCAGGTGGACAAACTGATACTCAGGCCGGGGCCGCCGGGAAAGCAGGGCCAGGAGCCAGCAGAGGCCGCGGGTGGGACGGGGCTCGAGCTGCTCGCTCGTGGCCTCGGGCTCAGGGACAGGGGGAGCGGGCCCTTGCGCTCTCCGTGTGCCGGTGAGGGGCCTGCGCCTCACGGCCCAAGGCGCCCCCACCTCGGCCTGTGCGCGGGCGGCTCTGCTCGTCCCCACCAAGGCGCTGGCTCTGGCTTTCCCTGCTCACCCCAGAGCCCCATCACCCACTTTCTCCCCACACGTTGGCACTCCCGCCCCCCGCCTGGCACCCACTGGCATGCCGACAGCACAGCACTGGCTGCAGGAAGGACGGGGGTCTGGACACACAGCGGCCCACCTGGCCACCCAGTGCCGCTCCAGGGGTCACCCCAGGCCAGGCAGGACGCCCAGCCAAGAGCCAGCGCCAGGGGCGCCCGACCCTCCCAAGTGGCTCCTGTGCAGACGCCAATTGGCTCAGGCTTCCAGCTCAGCGCAGGGCCACTCCCTTGTCCCCCTCATCACCCCATCTGACCCGGAAGGAATGCACCTGGACAGCCAGGCCCCCTCCTGCCTATACCGGCTCTGCATTTCAGGGGCCTGTCTCTGCTGTGGTCTGAAACCAGAGGCCTCCCCTGCCCCACCACTGGCCAGCGCTCGGCCCCTGGAACCGCTTATAGGCAGCGCAGGCGGGCGCTGGGTCCACTGCGCCTCAGGTGGCAGCAGAGGCCGCCGTGATGGCGGCGGCAGGGGCCCCCCAGCACATGCCCCAGGGCAGGCGGCCCCGGGGTCAGGGCTGCAGGGAGGAACGGCCCCGGCCGGCTGCTGCGAGGGGACGGGCTGTGGCTACTGGTCCAATCGGCCACGGGCTTCAATGGCGCCCCCAGACTCCTAGGTGGGGACCCCGACGGAGGAGGTGGGGCAGGAGCCACCCGGCATGAGCCCAGCAGCCCCTGAAGGGCACTCTCCTGGCCTCCGGGAAAGAGACCGGCCTCCTGGCATCCGGAGAAAGAAGGACCAAGAAGAAAGAGCCAGAGCTCTGCCAGCAACAGCCGGCGGCACCTACCGGGCCTGCCTGATGGCGCCGGGGCGCG